CGCTCGCGCCGTCGGGGCGCTTGTGGGAGGCGCCCCTCCCTGCCTCCCACCCTCTCTGAAAATCAGTGGGAAAGAAATTCTGGGGTGAGGATTTAAAAAAATAAAAATAAAATAAATGAAGGTCCATGGCTCAAATAAACTCACAGAAATTCTCTACCAAAATAAATAAATAAATAAGTGAATAGAAAGTGACGGTCCAGTGCACACGGCAGAGAAACAAACTCTGGGAACATCTGTCACGAAGCAGCCGGTGAAGGGTGTTTTTCTGGGAGGAGATTAATCCCAGCAGCCCTGGGACGGGAGCGAAGGGGACAGAGGAGAAAGCCAGGTGGGGAGGGACTTGGAAAACTGGGGCTTGCAACATATCCGGGGATTTATGACCTGTGACGACGCCTGGGAGTTGTGAGGGGAGTGACTGGAGCGGGACCAGCCAGGGCCTGCGAGCATGACCTCACCTGCTGAAGGGACTTTGCAGGCGTGATTAAATTAAGGATCTTCAGACAGGGAGATTATCTTGGATTATCCAAGTGGGCCTTAAATGTCATCCTGGGGGGGGGAGGCAGAGGGACACCGGCTGCAGAAGAGGCCAGACCTCAGAAAAGAGATTTGTACCTGGGGTTTGTCTTCATCAGTATAGCGAGACAGCGGCAGGGAAATGATGGCTGGAAACAGGAGGTGGGCAGGGGCCTCTAGGCCTGGGACAGCCCCCGTCCACAGTAGCATCAGTCTTTCCCTTTCCTTCTTCTTTTAAACAAAATACATATTGTTTTTTCTCTTAAACGAAGTCTGGCTTGTATCTCTAGACAGGTAAAAACGTTTTCCTCCCCCTCTCCACCCCTTTGGTCTGCTCCTGACTCTACTATTTACTGTATTGGTTTACTTTCTATACTCTTGACTCTTGGGACCTTAGTTCTGGAGAGACTGCCCCCTGCCCCACGGGGCCCACCCGTCCTTGGACCGGGCTAAGACTCCCCTGGGAATGCCTTTGATTACAAATTAATCCATCCAGAGCCCACCCCCACCAGTTCTTCATCTCACCCTGACACCAAGCCAGGTACCGGACAGCGCAAGACTGCCCTCCCTACACCCCAGGCCGCTGAATTTATTCACACTATCCAATCCTAAACTCACTCCATGCCCCCATGCTGCTTCACCCTCACCTTTCTGGGAAAGCCCCAGTCAAGGTTCTGGGCCACACTTGCTCTCTTGGTTCCTGTTGCTGCTTCCTGGGGTGGCCCTGCGTGGTGTGGTGTACCCCCTTCTCCTGGGAAATGTAAGTAATAAGTCGTTCCTTCAAAGGCAGTTGTCTCTGTCTCTGACACTTTGCCACACCTGGTTAAACAAACCCTGGGTACGGATTTTAGAACACAGGTGCTGCCGCTTTGATGATGGAAGGGCCACAGGTGCAGGGATGCAGGGAGCTGGACAAGGCCAGCAGCTGGCCTCTGGCGGACTTGGTCCTGCCTGCACCTGAAACATGTGCTATCCTAGACCCGGCCCACAGAGCCAGAGCAGTGAGACAGCGTCGCCTGCGCACCTCACGGACACAGCAGGTCCACATGGTGGCATGGATTCACAGAGGGCCATACGAGTTTTTCTGGTTGTTGGTTTTTGTTTTGTTTTTTAATCCTGACCTGATATTTTTTTCCATTGCTTTTCAGAGAGAGTGGAGGGGGGAGAGAGAGAGAGAAACATCGATGTGAGAGAGACACATCGATTGGTTGCCTCCCAAACTCACCCCAACCAGAGTTAGGGATTGAGCCTGCAACCAAGGTATGTGCCCTTGGCCGGATTCGAACCCAGAACCCTTCAGTCTGCAGGCTGACACTCTAACCACTGAGCCAAACTGGCCAGGGCAGGGCCATATGGTTTTGTAAAAGTTGCTAAACTAAGATATTGTGACCTCAGAGTTCCCCACACTACCTCATGTTCCCTTTGTCACGCTTCTCCTCATGTTGGGGTGTTGCTGGAGAGCTTAGGGGCACTCTTGGGATCTGGCCAAGGGGATGCTGAGTTGTGGAAATGTCGG